TAACAGTAACTCCTCATCATACGTCAGAGAAGGGGTCAGGAACGGTCCTGAAAAGTACTTTTTTCTAAGATTTTTCTTATCTGTTTGGGAGGCAGATTCTTTCGCACTTGCAACAAGACCTTTTCTCACAAGGGCATCACATTCGAAAAGGGTACCCAGGTCTTGATCAACATATACGCTATCCACCATGACGAGAAGTACTGGCCCGACCCAGACAAGTTTGATCCCGAGAGGTATGTACGAATAAATTATTTTAGTTTTATATCCGAGGAATAGACTCTTAATCATATTCCTAATTTACAGAGGACGCCCCAGCTACTCACAATTTTTCCCACGACGCTTTCAAAGTTCATGTATTTTGTTACGTACAGAGAACGCACGGCAGAGAAAAATCAAAAGACGGGAATAAGGACACTAAAATATGGGCAAGGACGGCAAAGGAACTAATTTCAACAAGCATTTAAATGTAATTATAAACTTACACCAGCAAAGCAATAAGTTAAAGCAAAGTAAATCTAGTGGTTTGCTGCAACTTAAACTTCTCATGCAAAAACACCGTGAATTTGGGCAAGCAAAAGCATAAAAGCAAGCATATTTACATACAGAAACAAACTATGTTCGCCCGAGCATAATTACCTTAAGGAGCCCAAAACAAGGACAAAAGTTAGGCCCCACCCAGTTAGTGCCATGGCTAAAAGAGCACAGTCGTCGGGCCAAGCACCTCCACACCCCGCGCCAGGAAAGACAAGCTGAGACAGGTAGGTCGGTGTTGATCCCCGAGATTCGGTTTCTGCATAGCACCACAACACTCCAGGGTCCTCGGTCCCACAGCGGTGTCCACCTTGGCCACGGTCCAGCGATGAAGAGAAGGCAACTTGGAGGTGTTGACCCAACGCTGGCTATTTTTGAACGCACGTGCTAAGAGTGTTTTAGGCACTGACTGAGAGCGAAATCAATGACTACGGAGTCTTTTACAGGGTGTCCCAGAAAAAAACAAACCCTGAGGAAAGGGTTTAATATGCCCAAACCATGAGATATGATTATAATGTATAAGGATCTCCGAAAAGTAAAAGCAGTATTCTTTCGAATGATACCTTGATGGTATCCTTGATGGTATTAAGAGTTCGGAAGATGTCCTTACAGTTGTGGTTCTTGTCCAGGGAGACAGATCTGCATGACTTAAAAACATAACTAGTTGTTGGACCACTTATTGAAATGGATGGTGAAACGCGAAGTGACCCTAACGTACAGGCCTGTATGATCCTGTATTGTATTTGTTCCCTTTCGATCTAGATTTAGTCCGGAGAGGAAGGCCTCTATTCCGCCCATGGCTTTCATACCATTTGGCTACGGTCCTCGCAACTGCATCGGGATGCGTCTTGCTTTACTGGAAACCAAAATGGCGCTGGTGCGCACTCTACAACAATATCGCTTGGATGTCTGCCCGGAGACACAGGTGCAACCCGTTGGGCTTTTTCATAGGCCTGTCTCGCTTTAAACTTCTAGCTCCTTCTGGTGCATCCCTTTTCAGTATGAAGGGCGGCGAGTTTTGTCATGTGACTGTCATGGAACAATTTGATAGAATTGAAAAGCAAACCGTCCTTTAATTTCTATTAATCGTAAAGACAAGATCTGATTAAAATTCTGGTCTCTTTCTTTGTTTTTACAAAGCGACAAAAATCATCTCGCTAGCAAGGTCAAAAGGGGACCACCCGTCTATGCTTGTATACAAACAGTGTCACTGTTTAATAACAAGATCAAAATTTTTTTTTATAATTGAATTCGCAGATTCCACTCAAACTCAATGCCGGTCTTTTCACTTCACCGAGGGAAGGCATCAAACTACGTCCAGTGGCCAGACAGTAACAGCTGATCAGCGTCATGCCATTCACAGTGGAGTCAATAATTTGTGTAGTATTGTGCTTCCCGCCATAGAAACAGACACTATCTATGATAATGTCCCATCAGCAGCGGCGTATCCAGCTTTTAGTGTGTGTGTGGAGGGGGGGGCAAATTCAAAATCGAATGCGGCTTTGGGTTCATTCAACATGATGTTGGGGCCAACAATTCAAAAGACAATACATCTACTCACGGTACTAACATCTTTGATTTTATTTGCTAGTGTTTTTTCTTAGTTTTTTGGTGCTAATACTTGATAGATAAATCTGCCGATTACTTTCTTTTTTTTTCCTTTGCGGGGGGGCAACCTACCCCCCGCGAAGGATTGAAAAACCTGCTCCCCCGCCGGCCTACCCCTTCAGAATACGCCACCGCTCATCAAGTTTCCATGCAGATCGGGGAAATTGGGATGTGGCTTCAATTCCTTTGTCTTTTAAACAGTGTGTGGGCGAGCTAGACCGTTTGTGAGGAGCAAGTACTTCATACTATGCAATATGATTCAAAATCCGCTTAGCTAGGGCCACTGCAATCATCCTTTTCTCATCTGAGCATGCCTTTTTTAAAAAACACTGTGCCTATTATTTCAAGATGGAGTGCCCAAACCTTATGGTCATTTTAATAATCACAGTGTTGTATATGAAAAACATGTATGTAAAGTAATTCATGACTTTCGGGAGAATGATGTAAGTTTATTATTTGACATATTTTTTAAAATTTTCTTTTAGAAATTAGTAGAATTAGGGTATCAATGTATTAGTAATACGATTCTTTTAGAGTGCGCCTCCAGTAGTTTGCAACTCGTTGACCAATCACAATGTGCGAAATCTGTTGACCCTTTCCAAACGCGCACTGGGTCGACATATTTCGACGTTGCAAATTCTTGTATGCGCTCTATTGTGAATCGCCCGTATTTTGCACACCATGTAATGTTGTATGTAAATCAACTTAGTTTCACTATGTGTATTTTGCGAACGATTTCTCTATTTCTTTATTTCTTAAGAGAACATTTACTCAGGAAATGTAGACAGTATTATATTCAAATTATAGCTGAGAAAATATCTGAAATATTTGAAACAAGAGCATGTGNTAGTAAGCATACCCTTGTTCTACTCCACCGGGTGTTACACGAACAAACATCTAACATGTATGCAAATGTTATGCAACGCTGCGTATCATCCAATCAGATCAACTATAAAGTCATATTCCGTACGAATAGTGACGGGGATGTTAATTTTAAGGTTGTCAGCTGACTGGGCACACCCGGTAGCACCAATGAAATTAATCTTCCTCAATGAAGATTCTGACCTGGAGAGATGTTTCTCGCATTAAATTCTTAGTGCTCTGACGGGGTATCATTTTTCAGGTGTAACAGACAAGCACAAACGTGACACATTTCGTTCAGCTGCCCTTGTTAGAGGAAAACTGTTTTTGCTACCAACTGCGCGGACACTTTGTTTCCAAACCGACCATACTTGCACCCGCCTTGCTGTCATCCAACCGAAGGTAAGATTAAAGTTGCCCGTTGATTGGTCAATATCTGTAGAGTCGAGGTACGTCTTTTCTTAACAACTTCTTACGAAGTCACTTCAAAGCTGCTTTGGTCTTGATCAGACGATGATATTGAATGGCGACCTCCAACAACCGACGCTTGACTAACTAACGAGTGGACAACAGGAGGCCAATGACAATCTGACGGGATCTGGCTAGCAGACCAGTGGACAGGGTGTGGCCGAAAGGCGTCGTGCTGTCAGAATCAGCACCATGCTTTTACCCAGTTCCTATCAAACAGACAGCGGAATAGCGACGGTAACAACCGGTTGAGCCCAGACGGCTCCAGCCTGACTTGCAGGTACAACACAGGATTGCCAGTCTTTGGGCACCCAGGAAGCCTGACGGTCAGAGACCTGCTATCATCGGTGAGAGCAGAGTTCCTTGTCAGTACCCCCAACATACTGAATGTCAGAATCAGATTAGAAATAGAATTTCCCTGCTTTTAATATGGCAGAAACGTTGCTATTTGAAAAAAGAAATAAACATAAAGGTTATAGAAATATTACTGAAAAATTATAGCATTCTGTATATTCTAATTCGATAATCAAAATTGGAAGCCATGCTTCTTTGGCCTGTGAGTTGTCGTGATTTGCCTAACGAACACGTACGTACAATACGATTAGTACGGACTAAACGCGCCTTTATATGTACGTTTTGGTTGTTCGTTGCGAACACAATGCGTTCATGCGTTTTACTTTCACAAACACAAACAACCATCCATTAACATTTGCCTGGTGTAAGTGGTTATCCCCTTCAAACAAGAGTAAACTTACGCCTACCTACCGTCGTTTGCACGGATATTATTAATGCAGATGGACAAAAGACGACCTAGCGAGGGCTTATAGCTCTTAACTCTGGGCTTGTGGAAAACTTGGTTGTTGTCCAGACGTCTTTGTGTAGAACACTTCGAGACATCAACTGGACCGTACATGTAATGTATGTTGCGGAACCTAGTCGTGTTTGCAAGCGACGATCCTAAATTTGTGTTGGTTACTTATGCCGTTTGTTCATATAGCATTTTATTGGAGGATAAAGTTGAGGGAAAGGCTTGCAGTCAGCTGTCTGACTAGATAAGATAAGTTTTGGTCCAGAGACAATTCGCTTAGCGTGCTCTACTGATGTTAAGCGTGGACAAGGAGCGCTTGCACGTATTGCTCGACAATTGGTGAGGAAAATACTTGAATTTCATTGGTTCATAAGTTCTCTACGGAGCCTTGGAAGAGTCATTTGACCGATTGAGGTCCTGATGTATTTATCTCAGGATGACTGTACAAGGCATTTATGTTCAAAATGTTGACACCCTGAGATAATTTACTAATGGATGACGCCTTCCTGAAGATGCGACGCCGATATCCTAAATTAAATTTTCCCGGGACAATGGTAACTTGACGTAACGTCGTGTCGATTTTCAGAAATAATTTATCATGGAATAGCGACGTCCCTAGACCATCATTTTTGTTAACACCTCTGAATTTAGTAAAAATTTATCCTAGGATTTTGTCGTCTTCTTTTTATTTCAACATTATTCCTGTATAAAATATATGAGAACTTTCACTTCATAATAATGTTTTCCGAGATGAAATAATGCCAGGATCTAAACTGTCACGTGGCATTTCTGGACGTCCATAGTGCTATAATGGACTTTTATCTTTTATTATGTAATTTATTAGTATGGGTGGTGCATAAGCGGGTAAAGATTTTCAGAAAAATCTCAAAAGAAAGCATTTTTCCTTTTCCATGGGAAGTGACAGATGGTAGGAAATGGGCACCAAGGATTAATCTCAACCCAGTGAGGCATGAGGCAGAACTTGGTCTTGGTTTATGAGAAGGTATTTTGGTAACTCTTTAAGGTTCCACAGCACCGCATTTTTTTTACGTAGACCTCAATGAACTCCCTAGGAAAAACTAGGTTTTAATTATTTCGTAGTTAGTTATTATCCAATCTTTTAATTTGAGTCCTTTTGCTTTTCTGGTCCAGAATTGTCATTAACTTGACATTTTACTGAGAACTTGTAGTGTATTAATCGATTTGATACTATTGTTCAACTCTACGGAACTAGCAGCACATTGCACTTTTACGGGCTAGTAATTCAACCTGCAAGGAGAATCAACTTAAAACCATCTTTTGCAGAGATCCATTTCTTACACTCAGTGAAATCCTGCTCTAAGCCTGTCTTGGATTTTCAAGGCTCTGAGAGGGGCATGAAATAAATGAGGCTACCACTAGGCACCTGGGTACTTTCACGCACCTGGCAAGGGGCTAAGTAAATGAGTAACGTCCGTCAAGAAGCACCAGACCACGGCTGATATCAGACAGGGGGTTGGACTTTAGACCTCGGGTGTGTTTTTGGATTCAACTTGACATGTTATAAAATGCCCATTGTGCCGTGCAAAAAACTAAAGAAACAGAAGTCTGCACCACAGTTTCCACAGCTGTTGCGTGACTGATGATCGCATCAAGAAGGTGCACATCGATCGCTTCACTCTGAGCTGTATGCACGCTGGCAATCGAGGTAATGCTTTTCTGCCTGTTTAATTGTCTGATATTTTGATAAATATATACATAACGTTGCCAACAAAGGCGGCTTAACCTTGAGGCTCCAAAACTACTACGGGCTCGAAGAGAATACAACGCGGCGACGTTTAGTATGCCATGTTTGGAAGTTTGCTCATTTGCATCACCCTGGGAAGGGCGGCTTTGATGAATCATGTAATTTTTGTCGAGCATTCAGTTGAAAAATTCAAAATAATGAAAAAACACAAGGTTCAATCCTTCCACGTTGATTAGGAAATCAAGAAGCTCACTGGAGGCTGAGGATGAGCGAAGGGACGGCGGACACGTCGATTTTGCATCAGTCCTCAAGAAGTACATCCCAGCAGAGAGGGGGATTCCAAATCCGAATGTTTGAATCCCACAGGCAATAGAAAGCAAACAAGTACCACTCCACCAGCATGGCTCAGCGTTGATTCAGGAACAATGTTGCGCAATTTTATACATATTTGTAAGAAAATGGAACGCCATATATTATTAGTCAATCTGAAGTTGGCAATGCATTATTATTAATGGATAAATCTGTGCAAATACAAAGATCGTATCCAAAATAGGCTTCCAGAGCTACGGCTAGGTCTATTGTCAGCGCGTCTCTGCGTATCTCCACTGGAGCAAAGACCTGTCCGCGAAAGAAAGACAAACTGATGGGAAGTTTTCCAACCAGGTTTCCGCACACGTTTGGTGTACATGAAAAGACCACACATTCCAGCATGAATTTGCGGCGCGTACTCAGCGTTCTGATGAGCGCCAAGCTCGCGTGAACTTAGGCGACGACACAGTGAGTTCGTACCAAAGGACTGTCAATTTCATTCAAAACACGCCCTCTTTTGTTTCTGCTCGGAGCGAACAGGCCGGGCTACAGAAACAGATTTGGATGCAGCCAGTTTGCAAAATAGGCCATTCCTACTGTGTCCCCTGCACTTCAGATAAGCTGCATATAATTATTTTCTCAGTGTTGCAGGTCAAAGTACTTTTTTCTAAGATTTTTCTTATCTGTTTGCGAGGCAGATTCTTTCGCACTTGCAATAAGACCTTTTCTTACAAGGGCATCACATTCGAAAAGGGTACTCAGGTGTTGACCCAGACAAGCTTGACCCCGACAGGTAAGGATGAATGATTAACCTTTGGGTTAGTTTACCTTCATTAGAAGAGTTTCATTTATTTATTTCCTTGCAGACACAGGGCGGATCCAGGAGATTTTTGGGGAGGGGAGTTCACATCCTTCATTTTACGTCAATTGTTACGGAGAGGCGGACACATGGGAGATACATTACAGGGTCACTGGTGCACTGACCTTTAGGGTGTCATGTTTTTATTCCTTTTATTCATTTTTGTTATTCATTTATTTATTATTATTGGTGTTAGGGTGGTGGTAAGGGTTAACACACGAACATCGAGCAGTTTGCGACTTGTAGTTTGTGTAAATCAGGTTTTGGTTATTTATACAATCCTTTGATACAGACAGTAGCGCCTTGCACTAAGACTACCTTGCATTGCAAAGCTGCCCCCGACAGCAACTTCAGTTTCTCCCGGTTTTGTTTTCTATCTCATAAATAATACTGTGTATGAAAGAGTAATAATACTCCGTGTAAGGCTTCTTAATAATGGGCATGATTACCTGTAACGCGTCTTACGTTCTAGTTCTTGGAGACGAAATTGCATCCCTTAAAACAAAAACTTGAATTTTAATGGTGACATGCAAATAGATTGTAACATACAGACCTCGATGATCCTGAATTGTGTTTGTTCCCTTTCGATCTAGGTTTAGTCAGGAGAGGAAAGCCTCTGTTCCAGCCNATGGCTTAATTTCATGCCATTTGGTCACGGCCCTCGCAGCTGCAACGGGACGCGTTTTGCTTTCCTGGAAGCCAAGATGGCGCTGGTGCGCATTCTACAGCAGTATCACTTATATGTCTGCCCAGAGACACAGGTATAACCCATAAGGCTGTCACATAGGCCCGTCTTGGTACATTGTAGTTCCTTGGAGGTTATATTACTGGTGTTTTCTTGAAGTGACAGAAACCCAGAAAAGCAACTTGGAGTATTTTCGACCATTTTTGCAGATTTGACAAAGTTTAAAAGCAAACTATCACTTAATTTTTATTAAACCGTTAAGAAACATTTGACAAAATGCCCGGTCTCTGTGTCTCTTTGTTTTACAAAGCGACAAAAGTCATCTGGTTTAGCTAGGTCAAAAGGGAACCATTCGTGAGTAGAGATGTAAGCGTGAACTTGTGCTCAAACGACGTTGAGAAACGACATATGCACATTTTGTTGAAACATGAAAATAATATAACAATTTCCAAATGGTTATAAGTAACAAAAACTCTGCATAGGTAAAGTGAAGGTCTCTGCGTTTTACTGTTTTATCAAGTTAAAGACAACCTATGTAATTAGCACTGAACATAGCTTAAATTATAGACAATGTAAAAATGTCTTGAATCCGTCAATTTAATCGAAAAAGTAAATATTCCCGAATGTATATATGTATTCCACGAAAAAGATTTTTGTTTCATTTCTTGAAAACATTATTAAGGAACAAGTTGAAGAAAACGTATGGTTAATTTCAAATAAACTGCCTTTCGTATTACCCAAATTATTTGGATTTGAGCTGGATTACTTTAGGACTTGTCCGTTTCGAGGCGCAATGTCGCTTAATTGTTTAGTACAGCAAGCAATAGAAAATTGCTGTAAGCCTTGTTCATCAGCCCAAATACCATTTCTGTAGTACAACCTTTAATATGATTTTGGCAATAAATAATGATGAATTCTCTGCAAAGATAGAGAAGCAGAGCATCACCATGGAATTTGTCTCATTTGAAGAAGACAGTAAGCCTCAGGAACGCCAGTGTCAGTTAACGTGTGAAATGGCGTGGAGATTGGAAAAATCCTGCATTTAATATTTTTATGTTATTGCATTAAACACAAACTGTGTCANGCGTTTTATATCGAGCTCGATTTATTTCTTTTATTGAATTTGCAGATTCCACTCAAACTCAATGCTGGTCTTTTCACTTTACCGAAGGAAGGCATCAAACTTCGTCCCGTGGCCAGACAGTAGAGTCGATCAGCATTATGCCGTTCAGACTGGCGGAGACCATCCATTATATGTCGGGTGTATACATGGTGGCCAATTAGGTTTATATGAAGATCGGGGAAATTTCGATTTGGGTTTCTTAAAAGCAGCTTAATTAATCTGAATTGTCAGATATTTGGGGGGTAGGCTAGTACCGGTTGTAAGGTGTCAGCACTTTCTGTTCTTGATATCTGACTACATGTATTTCTGATTTCTAATCGGGGTCACCCGTTTACTATGGTCTTCCACAGGGCCCTTCCACCGCGGGGTTGCCCCTGCCCACTTCCCTCCCCGCAAGATATGCCTTGGGCAGGATGCGCCTATTAGCAAGAACAAGCAGGGTTATTGTGTTATTTCGAAGGCAACGTCAGCACTAAAATGGTCGAAGGCTATGCAGAAGACTCAGGAAGTGCGAATGCGATTATGTGATTGAAAATGTTTTTTTTTAAATTACATTTACTTAATTTTTTGAGTTTTCGTGCTCCATGAATTTTGTTAATGAATGTCGGTGTACATATACGAATTGCACTCCATACCATTTGACCAGCTTTTAAATTTTGGGCTGTACTATGGCTGCTTCATAAGTTACTACGATCGGAACAGTCCAACTAGGCGTGGTGGAATTAAGTATTTGTTTAATAGACCTCTTCACTAAAAAATTCATAATTATGCACGCATGCGCACAATGGCCTTGACGGCAAGAAGTGTGAGTGGGCCATTAAAAATGTACAGGGTTGCGACTTCGATGATCATTTTCTCTCAGGTTTTCTGACTTTGTTCAGTTTTTTCTTCAGAAATCCCATTAAATCGTTTTGGCTATTAGTTTCCAATTTAAGTGAAATTTGCTGTAATGGCTTCTAAACTGGTAGGTACGCTGGCCTTCGTGAAGACGTTGCAAGTCTGAAGATCAAAGATGACAACGTTAGATTGGGCCTGTCAGTTATGCGCACAGTGGTGTAATGGTCACTGGGACAATTACGTTTGCCACCGGCGAATATATAACATAAATAGGTACTGCCACCACAAAGCGTCTAAAAGGTGTCGAAAAGTATATATCTTTCATTTATTTTGCAGAAGTCATGGAATAAATCTATGTGTTTTCATTGAGACTGTGTGTAAAAATCATGTGGCCCTAGCTTGCTTCCAGTTGAAATTGGAAAAATAACATAATCAGTGAATATCAAAGATCCGAATTTGTTTTCAACAGTGGTGAAAGTGAAACTAGGAAGGTTCTCGTCAAATACTCGACCGCCCTCTGGTGGTAAGGTTGATGGTTTCAGTATGTATGTGGCGAAATCATCCTAAAATTAGTCCACGACTTTTATGTATATAACGCACCTGAGGGCTCAAGCTAATGGCGTCATCAGAATGAGCGTTACAATAAAAAGACCTTTAATGTTAAAAAAAGATTTAAGTCGATCAACCGTGAAAGATTTATTTGTCCATTAAATGATAGTATATTATTAATATTGATAAAAGTTCCAAGTTTTCTTCCGATGACGTCACCCAGATCCGTTTCCCTTTGGGTCTTACCGTCTTTGCAGGTCAAGGAATATGACTTTCTTCAGGATCATTTAAAATTGACCCTTTCGGGCTTTGCCTCGACAACTAGTTTGTAAACGTCCAGTATAGGTCTACTTCTTAGAGCTAAAACCGACTATCCACCCTCATATAATGTACATGTAGTATATGTGCTAAATACGTCTGTGAGCTACCACTGAGTATCGACCCATAACCGTGCTACATTTTGAATGTAATTTGTGTGCATTTTTCTATGACGCTTAACTCGCAATTATCATCTTTTCGTTTTTCACAGTGTCCAATGAAACCAACAAATCAGAACTTATTGCCACGACATAAGGGCATATGGTGTGGAATAACAAAAATGCAAGGTGTACTTGAAACTAAATTAATTAATGAGTGAACAAAAACAAAAGGGTTCACCTGACGTCTTGTGCTAAATTATTTATACATCTCTGTTTTGCTTTAAACCTCTTTTTTTAGTTAATTAATCCCTTTGTAGTTTACCGTTGACTGCTGAAGTGCTCATTTTATTTTCACTTCAAAGTAGCAGCTGAAAAGTTTGAAATAATCTATTTGACATTAACCCATTTAAAATTCACCATTCAGCAGTAATTTTTAGTTCCTACTAACTGATACAACTAAAACCCAATCCATGACAAGTCCTGCTTCTGTCCGTAGGGTCTCAGTTGCGAGTTTATTTGTTTCGTGGAGCAAGACGCAGTGTCATTCCATTCTCTGGTAGGATCAGCCCATGCTTACCGAATTTCGGCGGAATCTGTGAGAAAAGGAAACCAGTGAGACAAAGTAAGACGTTTGGCAAGAATGCAGTGCGACACACAGCCTGGCTTCAACTTGCGAAAGCGGTTCATCCACCTTGAGCAGAAGCACCACCTCATCAGTTGAAAAGAGGCATATTGGTTGGGAGTATCCATCTTGTTGGTAACCACGCTACCGTAACGCCTTTTATAATTGTTTGGTGAACCATCGGCAATCCCACCAAAGGAGCCTCCGTTGCTAGTAAATTGCGCCCTCTCTTGACCGAGCTCTGACTCATTGTTGGTATATGCACGTCATCATTATGATCTTGCAAGCTATGTCGTTCAAAACAATGGAACACTATGTCATAATCTACAAACAGTGGTAAGGATCCCATCACAACCACCTCTTATAAATCCTTAGCTCCCTACGTCACAATAAGCGTGATGTCAGATCATATCGAAAGTGTATCTTTATGCAGCTCGATGTCGAGTGTTACCGGTATATCTTATACTGCCGAAAAGCTCCAAAGCAGGCATGGGCGTAAATCCCGACGGATAGGGGTACAGATCCCCTTCACTTTATGACCTGAGGTTGTGCTGTTGAATTCCCCCCCCCACATACACACACACAGTTTCGCAGTGAGAAACAATTAAGGCGGATTGTGAACAATATGGGGATATCCCATCAACCAAAAATAGGCCTATAGGCCTATTCAATAACACTAAAAAGGGGGAAAGGGCAGACAGTTGAAAAAACCCGTAAATTTGCCGTTCTGATGGGAGATGATGCAGGAATTTAATACAATGTACATCTGTATCAGGAACATCACCCTTATATGGTTTCCTATGGTGTCAGCACTCCCCCCCCCGCTTTGGAAATTAACATAGTAGATCGAAATGGATCGATAATCTTAAAAACGATAACATCTATTTTTCCTTAAGCTTCTTAATTGTCGTTCATGAAACCCTGCTCCTCAAGATTCGTGGGGATGATTGTAAGTGATTTGTAACCCTCACCTCGGTCTCCTCACACGTTTCAAAACGATATTTCTGAAGCAGTCGGACAAGGACAAAGGTGGTTTGCATTATGGCGAAGCGGTAACCGATACACTTCCGGGGACCTTCACCAAAAGGTAGCCAGGCCACATTGTGAATCTTACTTCGCTTCTCTGGAGCAAACCTTAATAACAAATCATAGACAAATATTACATGTACTGCTCATACGATTTCATTATGTGTTCGCTTTAAACATTAAATTGAAATTACATTCTGAGCTAAATATAAAGGTTGATAAGATGGCAACGAGACTAAAGCAATTAACCAGTTTATTTATAGAGCCTTTAATGCCGTGTGTTCAAACTCGAGAGTTTCAGCTCCAACTTTGGTTTTGCTCAGCAGTGTCTCCTGTTACGTCACGCAGTCTACGACACAGATTCTCTAGCGCGTGATGATTGAAAAATTAAAAAAAATCTCCCCAAAACGCGCACTAGAAACATTTGGTGTTCAGAAGAAAAGGGCAATTCTGTTTCTCACCTCTCTGGATCAAAAGTGTACGGGTCTGGCCATGTTTCAGGATCGTGATGAACAACCCATATTGGGATTTCCATCATCACCCCCTTTGGGATTGGGATGCCTTTGATGACGCAGTCCTCCTGACAAATTCGATCGAACCTGGATTTTTAAAGTACAAAGAAAACCCAGCTTTTTAAATATAAATATAGACAAAAAAGATTACCGGATGGGGATTTGAACTTCGTAGCCGTGTACAACTATCGCCCCACGAGCGCCAAACACCCCACACATGCTTCGGGGTCTGTACCCGTTTAGATAAAAATTGGACTTGCGTACTGAGCGTCATATACGCCTGGTCAAAACGCACATGAGACCAGACGAAGCTCATGCAGGTGTCTCAAAAGGGTTAGGGATTGGTGCGATCTCCACTAATCACTGTCCGCGGAATGCATTTCATGGGATCTTTGATCGTGTCCCGTACTTACTCAACGGCCGGTGGATAGATCCTCATTGATTCATGCAGAACCATGTCCAAGTACGGCAGGGCAGCCATGTCTTGATAGATAAGAGCGGTACGTTCCCCGATGACGTCATCGATCTCTTTGATCAGCCGCTCCTGTACATCCGGGTGAGTTGCCAAAAGGTAGGCGATGAAGCAAAGGGTGGTGGTTGTGGTCTCATAGTTACCAAGGAAGAATACCACAGCCTGCATCGGTATAAAATGATTCGTATTCACATGTGCATTTACATAGATGACAGTCTGCCCCATGCCTCTTCTGATTGGTCCCGAAACCCCGGAACGTCCCCAGCGGCTGGAAGGAAAAGTAGACTGTTCCCTTTTATTACTAAGTGAAGTCGTATTACTGTTGCCTATGGGTCTACAAGGAACAAGACAAACATGGCAGCATCATGATAAAAAGCTCTCAGCCAAAAAGTAGGGGAGGGGCATCCTCCTAGCTACAGCCGTACGTCAAGCAGGCACGTGTTTTATATCTAGCCGAAGCCTGTTAATTTCGACATACACCACAAAATGTGGTCATTACCATAGCAGTGACTTCGTCGTCGGTGAGTGCGCGCTTGTAGTCCACCTCAACTCTCTCTTCCTTGGGCGTGTCCTCGTCCTGGAAGTTGTGGGCTTTCATCAACAACTGTAAGAAGTCGACGTATTCCTTCGAATACAAAACGTGGGGTTATTGAAACGTCAGTGGGTTTCTATCAAAATCTTTGGAGGGAAACATCGATGAAGGTTTGAATCGCAAAGATGCAGATGCCATCTTATCAACTGAAAGAGATTTGGACAAATATATTCACTTTATTTAGCAACACACTGGCGAAATTCAAGGCTCATTTTCAACCGATGCGTGTGCTACAGTCGACCTCGGGAATACTTTGGTGTCGCTCACCTTTTGGTTATGATCCGCCTTCCGTTCGCTGATAATGTCCATGATAAGATTCTGGAAGAACTTCAGAGCTTTCATTGGGTGTAACGAAAACCCCATCAAACGCAACACAGGCTCCATCCAGGGCATCATAACTGCATAAAGGAAAAAATATAACACCAAATAAAACCAAGTATGTTATCCAATCCGTCTTATAAAGAGTTTGAAAAGAAACCAAGGCTTAAATCTAAACTCCACGTATTTCCTGGGTTGGGTTCCAATTAAAGTAGCTTTGTGTCAAAGGAAAATTTTAACCGGTGTTGATAAAAAGACTTACGGGTGATTGCCCAAGCGTGCTGTTGCTCCTTAAATCCTTGAAAGAAAAGACAGGCCATATCGACGAACGTAGTATCAGCAAGATTCTGGGAGTCTATCTCTGTGGCATACGCACACAAGGCACCAGACTCAAGGACGAAACTCCCCAGTATTCTAAATGGGTTACAATATTTGAGATCGTTCTCACAGATATTTCTGACATCTTTAAGGTATGAGCAGCCATTAATCGACCAACCCATTAAGTCCCACCATTGTAGGAGTGGTTGGGGCCCCCGTATTTCTGTTCAAAGGATACAATCATGTTATTTTTCTTTACACGCTAGTACCCGCTAGCTATTTTGTGCTTCTAACTTAAACTGTAGGCACCTCAATTTCTTTATAATTTTAAATCTTTAAATTTAAGCTTGCATCTTATGTATATCGTCCTACGAGTGCGATTCGGCCATCGCGTATGATAGAATGTCATAAACGTGAACACATTCACATAAAATATCTTGGATTTATGCACAAAGAGAAAAATATACGATACAATGTTTCCCTTTTCGAAGCCTCCCGTAAGCACATCACGGTAGATGAAAATAATACGCACTTGGAAATTTCAACGTTTCGCTGTCCTTGGTCGCACACCCTGTCCAAGTTTCTCAGAAGAATATCCGCCCTATTCGTGACTAAACTTGCCATCTAAAAAAAGACAAGAAATGGTCGAAAGTCGAGAAAAATTCCCCGTACAATGCCATTTAAGTATCGTTTGTATGTTAGATGCTGTCCCAGTTTTCAAACTGAGGGTGAAGCTATAGTTATGGGTCCATGTACCAGCTTATTAGTTCATTTACTGACCAACCTTTTGCATTTTGGATCTGCTGAAAGTCGGTGAGATGGTGCCCCTCATCAGCTTCCAGCGGTCACCGTGTAAGCTTAGAAGATCGTTTTGCAGCAGTTTGGGCCGGAGGGGAAAGTGCTGGAGGGAAAAAAAATTCCATAGAGTATTAATACGTCGTGAGTTAGAGTGCTGGAATGACCTGCAGGCTGACCGAGAACGCATCATGCATCTTTTTGGTTCGAGTGGGTCGAAATAGTATGTGTAAGACTTGGTCAGAATACGAGCGATTACAATAGTGCGCCACCAAGAGTTTACAACACGTTGGCCAATCACCACGAGCGAAATTTGTCGACCCTTTTCAAACGCGCATCGGATCGACAAATTTCACGCATTGTGACTGGCCAACGCGTTGCAAACTCTTGGTGGCGCACTATTGTGAAACGGCCGTATTGCACGCACTTCGGCAAAAATCTGTTGACAGCGAGACGTGATAATTGCCGCTTACCTGCCGATCACAAAAGTTGTTGAACTGTTTAATGAGCACCTCTTCGATAATATCTAGGTCAGAGGTTATAATTGCCTTCCTCGCTCCTTCAAAGACACTGTGAAAATATAAAATGCAACACTGTGACAGTAAATGAGATCGAATCATAATTGCTTGATTTATCGTAGTATTAATAAATAAGTCCCTACTTTATTTAGTCACAAAATATAAAAGGAATACTTGAAATAGATAAATTACTCACCCGTATGTTTTACCATATTTCTTGGACCATATTTCATGTGCTGTGTGCATACCCTGAATAAAAAAAACAAACAGAACCTTACATATTTGCCAATTAATTATTATCTATAACTTGACTCAAACTCTATGACTTAAAGCATTAGGGCTTCGAGAAGCGTATAGTAGCAAATGATTTCATTTAAAGTCCCCATCATTTCAACTTTCTTCCATGTCAAGCTTGGCAATTTTAAACATTGAAAATGTTAAAAATAAAAACCTTTGAAAACAATTTCACACTTCAAAGTATTTTACAGTCATTTGCAAAAGTTTAGGATCACCCGTAATGCATTAACCTAACGGAAAACCAAACTTAAACCAATCAGTCATGGCAACTTATGTTTATTTTCAATGTGTTACCTTGGTACCTTGGTTGAACATTTTTGACTTCATTACCATGATTTGACATGTTATCAGTCTAATATTCAGTGTGCCCTCCCTTATTTCTGATTTCTTAGACTGCCTTTGTTTTACCCATGCTCCCTTGCAGACAAAATGTCATACAAGACCTGCCTTTGCAAAAAACTTTCATTCAAATGAGTAGGCCTATATAGCACCACACTGATGTTATGCACCACTGCAAAATCATGTTAAGTAATCATTCAGTGAGACAGTGTAATGCAGGACCAGTGACAGAAATACCAATATAATTCCAAGTGGTCTTAAACTTTGGAAAATGACTGTAATAAGAAAAGTTGCTCATGTTTATCCGTCTCCTAAAGGCGCTCTTTATACAAGACATGGGAGAAAGTATTGTTGGAGATGGGGCTGGAGGTTGCAGACCCCGTTGTGGTCGAGTTGGCAAAGATCATCTAGTCTTTTACTCAAAATCAACCGCCACAGAGCCATAACAACACTGGTTCGTTGCTTCCAAGGACTGACTCGGGGGGAGGTTTAACGGGGCAACTTGAGACCGACCGCCATAAAGAGAGCCAGGCTTAAAGAGGGACTTTTGGTTTATTTCCCTTGTTTTAATAAGGTGTAAAAGCCTCAAAATGACTTTGTCCCTCCCCCCAAAAATGACCAGGACACCTTGGCGCGGTTTATGTATTAACTTTTTAAAGCAAACATACGCTGTATACTGCAGTTTCTGATGTTCAAGTTCTGATAACATTACTTGACACCTGTCCTTTGGTAAAAAGAGCGAAAAGATGTCTAATTTATACTATTTAGCTAAAGACTGATAGACTATTTCGTTAAAGTAAAAATGTGTCTTCCAAAATCCCTCTTAGCAATGGAATATTAAATGTAACAGATGTCGAGTTTATTTCACGTGAGAGAACTTGCAACCTCAGGCCCTCAAATTGGTAATTGTGGAATTACGGTAGAGTCTAGAGAGGAGTTTTGTCAAAACACAGAGAAAAAAATAACTGCTCCTGATTTATCTCTATACAGGGAAATTAAATTCGTTTTATCTCGCAATTTACTCTAGTGAGAGGAAAAAGAAAAAGGCTCTTGCAAGTTTTAAAGAAATGCTGGTAGGTTGAAACGTTAGACCAGACAGTCATTAAAAGAGACACTGCTTTTCTGAAGATATAACCCGCAACAAAATATGCAAATACGACTAGTAATACTCGTGTCCGTTACGCAGTTCTCGAAACACTTCCGGCATGTCCGGGTGTGCACGCGCATTCAGTCTTGCGCATTACCATTTTCCCCTGCATACCACCGAATGAATCTTTTCACCAAATAAATTCATAATTATACGCGCACAAAGGTGAAGCTTTAAGCGCGTTATTTTATTTCAGAGTCTGCGAATTTTTGTTCCCCTTTTTTCTTCACGAAAACCTCTTCAGTCATCAAACGTTTTACTTTCTGGTCTGTTTTTGGACTGCCCTCACGCACGAGGCAGACAGATTATCGCAACTCCTTCCTGCGTGAATTTATAAACGGACTGCGATTCAGGATTATGATGGCGGACACGGACCAGTGCGGTTTTCTCGGCTCCAACTCGGTTCGCCGCTCTGGCTTGTTTTTAATCCCTAACATCGAAGTTTTAAGCTCAATAAAAATCAATGTTTTGCTAACAGGAAATTCCGTCCCGCAAAAGGGAAAGTATATTTTTCATAAACTTCGAACATTATACCTGCAAGCGGGTTGTGTTTGAGAGATGAAACTTGAGACACTGGCGAAGCCACCATTTTTAACAAGGTTGGTCTTCGCTCAAGCGCGCATCGTTTACTGTACTGATGCGTGGAGCCCTGAATCACAAAGATGTTGATTCCACATACTCGGAAAGGAGCCATGTAAAGTCTTTTGACGTCGTTTGTTCGGGCTAAAGTTTTTTCTAATTCCATATTTCATACATCATCAAACCCTCTTTGACCCAGAAACGTATAGCTATGACACTGTGAGAGGAGGTTTCCTGAAGACATAAGTGAAAAATCTTGGAATTTCGAAAGAAAACGACTGTGAAGTTTATAATCTACCTAAACATTTTCAATGGGCCGCTTTTGCGTTTTGTCACTATAAAATGGCCAATGATTTTATGCGCGTACCCCGTACCTGCATCTTTATGAATTTACATATGAAAAGTTCCATAAACCGCATTGATTTTGTAGATGGTAATATAAATGTCTGCTTGTTTGGAGGATTGGCGTATTCAGCAGGGGGGGGGAGTTCCGAAGTGGAGACATGTTCAAGGAAGTGAAAATGCTGACACTTTCGAAACGGCACCCCTGTCTTTCTGGAGCGTAAGGAGGGAGTATTGAGCTGGATCATCGTTTTTACAAATTAATTAATTAATAGAAGCCTATCAGAAATCTTACTTTGCCCCTTCCGTCCAGACCCCCAACCTGGATATCATGGCGTAAATCCCGGGGAGATGCATGGGGGTATATATGAGATGGGGGTATATATCCCCTACTTTTTGCTCACACTCTTTTTTTATGGTGAGCAAAACATTTGCCCTTCTGAGTACATGCAGATACACATCAATATCGTGAACATCGACCTGTATATAGAATCATATGGTGTGCCCCCCCTTCAAATTTACATGGCCAGACAATGGCGTTTCCCCATGGCCTTTCCCACCGTTCACCCCCATTTCTGGCGCACATTTATGCCACTGCTGGATATGCTATACTGATCACGAGGTTTAGATGTGCTGGTACAATCTGGAACAGTAAATATCTGATTCTGCACGTATCTAGTTTACAACTACAGTCATTTGTAAAAGTTTAGGACCACCCATAGAAAATGCATTAACCTGAAGGAAAACCAAACTTAAACCAATCAGTCATGGCAACTTATGTTTATTTTCAATGTGTAACCTTGGCACCTTGGTTGAACATTTTTGACTACATTTGCATGATTTGACATGTTAACAGTCTAATATTCAGTGTGCCCTCCCTTATTTCTGATTTCTTAGACTGATTTTTTTTTTCACCCATGCTGCCTTGCAGACAAAATGTCATACAAGACCTGCCTTTGCAAAAAAATTCATTCAAATGGGTATATAGCACTACACCGATGTTATGCACCACTGTAAAATCATGTTAAGTAATCATTCAGTGAGACAATGTAATTCAGGCCTAGTGACAGCAATACCAATAAAATTCCAGGTGGTCTTAAACTTTGGCAAATGACTGTACATAAAAAGGACGACAAATGCTGGTATAGGGGCCTATGCTAGCTACGTTCAAAAATGAAAGAATGTTCCAATATGAACATAACATCTGCATTGGGGCTTTTTTTTAGTATATGAATAGACAATTGTAAGAGCAGTGCTCACCAACAGAGCTCCCAAGAACTATAGTCCACGCTGTTCATCTTCATCGCAAGTGCTTCGTGAGTTTTCCTACATTCGCATTTTTGTCACACGGTCTTTCTGGTTACTTTTTAGGCTCTAAAGAATTTTGGAAGAAAGCGACCTTTCGGCTTACCTGTCCGTATGTCAGCATGTTGCCAACAATCGGAAGGGGAGTTGGGCCGGGCAGACCCAACTTCTTGAAGAAAGTCATCCTCTTGTACGTGCTCCTATGACATACAAGCGGAAAGAGTGAATTTCAAAGAAGGGCAGGTGAATTTAAAGATCCAGGGTAATGGGTAGGCTAAATTAATCATGTACTCCGATCCTGGGCATTTGAAAAATGGTATAGGTGTGGGAATAGGGCCTCGTTTAAACTTCAAGATTGACGCTCGGTAGGATAGAGGTTTATCTCAGTGGCGTTCCAGTTTTAAAAACTAAACTAAACGTAGTAAAAATTCCGTTGCCTTTTGTAAGTGGGGATGGGGCGTCTTAATATGAGAGCCACCGGAAATCGATTCTGTCAATATCAAATAAGACTGAACAGCGACTGGGTAATAAGGGGAACTGAACAGAGTAATGACTCGACTCTCAATAATTCTTGGCGACTCGAATCAAGTCCCAACGGGTAAATAACTTGACTCGAGTCGGGTCATTGCTAACAGATGACTCGAGTCCCTCATCAGAAGACCCTACTCAGGCGAAAGTTGATAAAACTAGAGTCCCAAAGATAAAAGCAAACTTCATTGCGAAAAAAATAATTGCAATGACTCACTGCACCGGTTTATAATGTTCATGTCATGTCATTACAGAGTATGATCTTGTGTGACCACATGTAGAAATCCAGAGGTAAATCTTAAAATACCAAAAAAAAAAAGACTTTCTCTCTTGTTTTTAGTTATCATATTATGTTCAAATATTGGTGACTTGTATTGAATGAAGCTAAATACTTGACTCAACTTCCTTGCCCATAATGACTCGACTCGATTTGAGTCACTAATAACTCAATTCGGCTCGATTCACTACGTTGACTCGCCTCGTGACTGGTTACATCTCTGGAACTGAGATATTGTGTATTACTGAGAAATAAAATTATTTAATCAATTTCAGTCAGCATAGATTTTATTGAAATATTAAAATCTTACCATGCAAACAATGCAACGATGACAACGATCAATGCTAGCGTGATAGACATCGCGAGATCAGTTAACCATCGGCTGTTCCTAGGTGTGCAGAAAAAAAGTGATGCCAGTGATCGCGTTGTGATTGCGGCAAACTAACTGACCGGATCCAAAATATGCGCAGAGCCTGGAAATGGAACAAAAAATATGCGGGTACAAACGCTGAGATCAATATCTGAGAAAGACTTACGAATCTGCTGGCACATTACAGTTAGGTAAGCCTACCCGCACAAAACACGGAGTTTGAGGAAATGGAATCGCTTTTAAAACCGTCAGCTGCAAGAATCCTTATGGGTTTTTTTTGCCAGCGTTGGGCTATGTCCCCGTTTGCTTCCACGTGTAATTTACTACATATGGTTACCGACAGTGTTCATCCCAGACGCTTCAGCAAGCTAGCACGTATGCATATCTAGGTCTCACAGTCACAGTAAAAGGTTATGCAAAAGATTCAAGACGTCTTAATTACTGTAGTTTCCAACTCATTACTATATCGGTTTTAGTACAAACTACTAACAGTAAAATGATTACAAAAGAAAGTCTCCCTTTGCTGCGCCGAACTCAACGTTTTTACAACTTAGACTGGAACTCAGAAAAACAAACTTAGTCATCCCCAATAAGCAGCTGTAAAGAAATCAGCATCATCATAATGATTCCACACTAGCACACTTGCACAAGTGTGTGTGAGGTCGAACTGGGTGTTGATACCTGATAGCTATGCTCTGTCAACCTCATGAGATTCAAGCAGTCAGTAACATCAACCGGAAAAAAGATTTGAAAATTACTGAAACATCACCAGACAATATTCACGACTGATGTTGGCGATTGCGGCAAATTAGGTCCACATACACATTTTCTAAAAGTATTGTTTCCCTATAAAATAAAATTCCATTCTTTTCATCTTTGAGTCAGGAATCTGCCTAGAGGCTTCAAATAAGAAACTTACATAACACTCTCTGAGAAGCGGCTGAATCCACGGTCAGGTGGCCTTGGCTTTTATTAGGGTGCGATTCAAGTGATGGGTTTTGCAGCAATCGTAAAAGTCCACCCCCCCCCGAAAAGGAGATTGCTTGGCTGAAAAAATGGTGGGACTGTATAAATGTAGATCGACTCCCTATTTTTGAGGCCCTTCATCCGTCTGAGAACAGAGTTGATAAATTTACAATTGAAATAATGATCTTTGGTGTTCGAGAAAAAAGAGGGATGCCATTTCGAAATCTGCTTGCGGTCTGCGGTTCTATCACTTTCGGGTGGTGAGTTTGTGTCAACATTAAAGGAAATGTAATTAGCAAACTAACTAAAATTTAATAAAAAGAGAAAAGATGAGTGACACAACAACAATTTAGTTTTGTTTGAGAAACAATGTCGGCTTACAATGTAGATTGGACCTCGTTGTCGATTTTACATTTAAATTTGTGCACTTCTTTAATAGCGCCCTCTGTTGTTTGTATGCTGTCAGCACATACAGTTCCCTGACGACGGAACATGGCGGTGGACGAGTCTACCTGGTTAGTTATCAACAACTGTCAACCATTGAAGGTCGGGTTAGTGTGCAACTCGTCTTATTTTAAAAGTTTGATATTTCATTTTGAATTTTTATTCTTTTACCAATTGCTTTTTCAGCTATCGCCCAAGGCATAGGCCTACTGGTGAAACTACAGAATTTTGGCCATACATCACATGCCATATGCACGATACCAACACTAGTCCTAGTACATGTACGTAGTACGAGTCACGACAAGTGATGGACTTCAAATACATATTTTAATGTCAGTCTTCACCCTGATCATGCCGG